AAGCGGTGCTACTATACTAATCGACGAAGAACATGAAGGCCAACTTAATTTCCAAGTCAATTAGGGCGGTGCAGTTTGAAGGTCTCCAAAATAAGTTAGGGATCAAGGTCCCAAGGTCTGCCGAGTCAAGTGGGAGCGCTGTAAACAAAACGCCTCGGCCACTAAAGTAATAAACTCATGGTATGTACAAAAAATAGGTCATGCGCGACGTAGCGATTAGTAGCGCACGACGTAGCAATCCGTAATGTATGATATAGTGATCAAGATTGTGTAGTCGAAGAATACAGTAGACTTAGACTAGCAAATAGATTGCAAGCTAGTATATAAACTTGCATTTTGCAACCATCGATCACTCGACCTATTCACGATATTTGTCTATAAAAATGCAGCTATGAGAACTAGACTCGTTGCGAAATCGTAATGTCAAAGGCAAGCTAGCGTTTCTCACGGCAATCTAGGTTTGTAGTGATTGATGCATAAACATGCGACTAAAAGAATCCTACAATTTTTGTCTGAAATTTATCTCTATTCGTCGAAAGCGTCAAGCGATTGTCGCAAGCCGTAAATTTAAAACAGAATCTAAATCTCAAGCTGGACATGCTCGGAACAGTCAAGGTTAGTAAATTATTAATGTATTTGTACGAGTTTGTAGTTTTAAAAGGTTTTATAGTCTCGTTTAGCAACCACTGCACGCCGCGATACTTAAATCGAAGTAAAGACTCAGGCAAGGCGTGCATGAGATAGCTGAGATGCATTTACGCTCTCTAAATGTCCATCATCTATCCAGTATTGTGTTTATTGCTTTAAATACAATACTGGATAAAATTCAAAGCTATTCCTGCTCGTCGTTATACAAGGCTAAAAGATTAGCATCCAGCAACGAGCCTTTTTGACAGGGACGCAAGAAGATTACTACATAGAAACAGTGCAGCTGTACAAGTTTTTAAATTGCTATCGAAGTCCGAGTATCCGGACCGGTTTGATGTGAGTTGAAAATGGTCCCCATATTGAGCAGGTTTGATGTCGTCAATCCATGCATAGGTTTCATTTGCATATGCTCAAGTACAACCGAGCTCATTGATTAAATTGTCTTGGGCTGTGGCATACTACCGACGTGAACTAAGCTTTTACAAATTATGATTGCAGATGCTGAAAAAGGGGTTTGCTATACTGCAGTTCGTGTATATTGCAATTCGTTTTGCTAATTCGACCCTTTACATTAAGAATCAGAGTCTGCTACCTAAAAATGATGTACCACAATTTTCCGACGTAATCGTCGATGATGGTGACGTTTTGGAAGCTGATAAAGGTCCAAGTACCATCGACCTCAATACTGATAATGAATCGCCATACCACCCATTTGTTCAGGTTACTGCAAATAAACCTCTAAAAGTTGATCGTTTTGCATCGCGCTTTTGCATGGTCTGATGCTGAGTCTCAGTCAATTCACGAGCTAAAGAACTTTTATAGGCGTGATAGCGTTTGTAATATTAAACCTTTTGGATTCGCAGACCTCACCGAACCTGATCGGCAGTTTGCCGTAACATAGACAGATGCAACTACTCTCCACCTTCGTTTGCCGAACAGGATCCTCTTACTGAAAATCTATATACAAAAAAATTGCAAAGTATGATCGGTTTATATTCTAATTTGAATAACCAGAAAAGAAGTCTTTAATTGCCACCACAATTTACCATTTGCCTAAAGAAGAACTTGGGAGACTCAGCTCTGATGATTGTCGATTTATACCAATTGATACACAACTAAACTTGGGATGTTTTGATGAAAAGTCTCACTGCTTATTCAGCAAATCTTACTGGCTCCGACGCTTACTGGCATCGTCGACGTCAAGAACTCAAAGCAATATTTTAAAAAGGTTGTGGTACCGCGCTTTTCACGTTTAACTTGTTTGAATACCATTGGGAGGATCTTCATAGGCTGATTACTGGTTGACATTTAGAACTGAATAACGTAATGATGCTAGAATTCACATCTGGTCGACTGGTACTTACTTGCTCGATTGGATAATTTATGCAGTTTTTTCGAATAGTTTCTTTGCTGTGAATGAATATGACAGCGCTACGAATGGCAGTCTCGATCCTCGATTTGCGCGCATGGTTTAGTCAAGCTCAAAAATGATACTGATGTTTCGAGAGTGGTCGCTACTACATAAAGTATAATATTGGCTGAAAAACTATGCAATAATTTGTTTATAATCGTGATTATTTTAAACAACTTAAGGACATTTCGGTTAGCAGGAAATTAGCATGCCAGAATGTTTTTACTTTCGCTGATACCATTTGACAGCAATCAATTCCTGGTCTTAATTAAATTTGATTGTGCAGCCTTTTCAGATCATCATCCATGGAACAAAAACATGTTTGAATCTATAGACAATCCTGATTCTCTGGATGCGGATTATCTAAAGCTCTCAAAATGTCGTCAGCGCCACATTGTTCGCTCTCGCGGATAGTTCAAGTCTGAAAAGGGTAAAGAGTGTCTATTCACCTATCCGATTCATCTTCAACATGGTACGAATACTAATTTTGAAGTACTTGGTTTCTCCGTGCGTGCCAAAATTGCATTGAAAAGAAATAACGCACGATTAAATATGCATAACTATTTCATGCACCAGCTTTGGAGAGCTAATGTGTCATCTAACTGATTCTTGATCGTCACTCTGCTTTAGCCTCAGTGGAAATATGCATCCAATGGTGAGCAAAGTAGAAGGTCTGTGATGCGAAATGTACAGAATTCCGATAATTTAGATTTAAAGCTGAGATCCCTGATGATTTGGTGCTTCAATAGTCGAATTGTGGGAGGAAGTAAAGCCATTAGAATGATGTTTAGTGGTAAGCACTTCCAGTCATCGTTTAAGATGTGAGGCATTTTTCGAAGTCAGCACTCAACAATTACGCATTGACAGAACTACCGGAGAGGTTACCATTCCGGACTATATTTTTTAAAGTATGCAAAAATTCAGCCCGAACGCTTTCATTTAAACTTGGAGCAACAGCCCAACTTGATTGAGTTTTGCCAAAGTTTGCGATCGAGGGTACCAAATTGGTCAAACGTTCTAAACTGGAGTGTACTGTCGTTGTTACCTTTTAAAGTTAAAAGGGAAGCAGCCGATCAACCACATACAATCTTTGGTGCGAGTATTCCTTGATCCAGCCTGCGTCTTGATCTTATAAAGACTTTAAGGAATTGGATAATGAAGATGGTGCCGAAGACGGATGGAATCTTATTCTTGACACAGCTAATGATAATCTTTCCGGATGTTTTTGCGAGGATGTTGACGTCGGAATTTGATGGTTAAAACAAGAGATGGTGGTGACGAAAGAGCAGGGGTTGTGAGTATGAACTTGGGGAACCTGAGCAATGGACGGTAGCAGCTGTTATATTCCCACGTATTGGGCAAAAGGCATGATTTCAACCACTTGCTAACCCTAACTATTCTTGGCATGCAAACATTCATTTAAGTTACACCGAGACGTATCATGTAAATGCTTTGAATTGGCAAAGTCTAATGATAAAACAATACCCTTCAGATTTATGCCATGCTATACTTCCAGATACTCGTCACGTTTTAGTAAATAATGTGCTTTGATTTAATTGTTCGAGCTTTGCGATATGAAAACAGTTTTTTTGCAAATCAAACGGCGGGGCCTGGTTAGCTACATACTATGTACAAGAAATTTACAGCACTTGGTCGCAAGTATCTTATTCGTGGACGGCGAAAGCGTCAAATCCAATCGTAATTTTTAACTTACATTTATCTTTCGATACCTGTTGAGGCGGGGACTCGCTCTTTTGTAGAGCTAAAAAGTGTCTAGCCAAAAAAATCAAGACAAGTTTAAACGAGTTCTCGTTGTGATTATCAGCGAGAACTCTATTGTCAGTTTTGACTTGCCGGGAAACTTCAAGATTCGATTGAGGCAATCTAAGGGAGGAGAGAACGTGCGTGTTGGTGGTATTAATGAGATACCAGTTGAACAGCTACTTCCTGCTTGTGGGACACCTCTGTATGGAGATAACGATAAACCACATTGTTTGCAAGGAGACATTGTATGTGCTAATACGCATGATAGGCGCCACGCGTATTTTGGCTGCGGCGCTAATTTTGCCCCACTGGAGGGGGCTCTTATATAACTACAAATAATGCAGGGTGGACAAAATCACTGAACAAAATGAGCATACAAATTAATGTATAATTTGTATACTTATTTTGTTCAATGATACATTAATGGAGTGATGGTCAAATGACCTGGTTGTAATTTCACCGTTAGTTTACATTTAGAAATTGATCCTACAACCAACTCAAACCTGAAGAGGTCGGCCGCATCAAGGATCCCGTGAGACAGGTCTTACGCATCACCAGATGAGGACCACGTGGGCGATCTCCACCATCTCAAGCATCCTCACGAATAAGACTGTGAAGTCTAAGAATCTAGTCGGTCGTCCCCTAAAGCTCTCCAAGCGCGACACACGCCGTCTCGTCCTCGAAGCCACCATGTAACGGGGTGAATCGTTACATAACAATTTATAAGAAATTGTTAATAGAATATAACTATAAGAGTTATATTCTCAGAATATTGTCATAAGGACAATATTCTGTAGCACTTCCAAGTAGTTCCTAATTGGTTGATATAGGCCATTATATCAACCAACGAAGACGCGCCACGACAGACGCACGCAATGAGTGGTGAGCAGATAACTGATTTACACATTTGTATTTAGACATAGTTAGATGAAGATAAATAGTGATTTATTGCAGACATTAACTATTATAAATACAGTTCTACTTTTTACTTTAACCAAGTACTCGCTTCTTCTTACCGTCTTCCTCTGCACGTACTTGTGTACGTGAAGTTACGAGGCACCGCCTTATTCTGTTATCAGAATAAGTAGCTTGTACTGTCACCAGTACAAGCTTCAGGGTGCCCCGTTACACCTGGTAGCACTTCGTAGTCCGTCCAAGGACCGCGTTCACATCCAACATGAATATGTTGGATGATGAAGATGACCAAAGCTTTCACGCTACGCGTGACGGCTACTCCCATTTGAGCGATGTCGAATGGGATGCGGTTGAACGAATGGGTTCGACCATGGGCATCCATGCTGTTAGCGTCATGCTAGAGGCTCTCAATAGAGATGCCCAACATGCTACTATCGCCAAGTTCATTCAAAATGAACTTGACGCAGAACGCGAGAAAGTAGCCTTGCTTCACCAACAAGGTTCTCAACAAGCAGAGTTGTTGAGAGAACAAGGTGCTCAACAGTTTGAACTGTTGAGACAGCAGCAGGCTGCTGCTGGCGGGTCGATGCACTCGCGTCGGCCCGAGACTTTGAAGATTGACATCTCAAAGTATAGGGGGGTCGAAGAAGACTCCCTCTTGAGATGGTTCGTCGAATTGGATGACGCCATAAGGGCGCGTCGCATCGACGACGGGGATATGCAAGTTGCATTTGCACAGTCAAATCTGGCAGGACGTGCCAAGACTTGGGCACTGGGGCTCAAGCTGCACGACCCATATGCGTTTGGGTCGTTGGAAGTCTTCAAGTCGCGGCTCAGACAAACGTTTGAACCGCCTAGAGCTGATTTCAGAGCTCGAACCGAACTCTTGAAGCTCAAGCAGGGTAAGCGTGATGTGCACGCTTACGCTCAACATATACGACATCTCACGAGTTGTATAAGTTCCAATCCGGTAGATGAACACACGTTGGTTTCGGTGTTCATGCAGGGTCTTGCGGATGGTCCCGTCAAGACTCACCTGTTCCGGCTTGAACTAGATTCACTAGAACAAGCCATTTCAATTGCGGAGCAGGAAGACTTCAGTCTGAGACAGGCTCGCGCCAGCTCGACATCATATCGTCAACCGAGACGATATGACAACGGAGGTCCAGAGCCGATGGAACTCTGTTATGTAGAGAGCGAGAAGGCTCGCTCTACAGGCTACAAGAAGTTGCAGAGATGCAACAGATGTCAAAAGACAGGACACTACGCTTACGAGTGTAGTGCCCCTCGTCCAGTGTCTCGCGACACTGGGCGTAGTGACCGTCCACCCATGAGAAAGGGGCAGGGACGAGGGTCCGCAGTTGGTGCAAAGACGCAACAACGGGAAGGACCGTCAAAAAACGGACAGGGATCAGTAGGTGCGGAGCACCCTACTGATCCAGCAACGTCAAGAGAATTTGTAGGCCTCTTGATGAAGGTTGCTCCCAACACACAGACATTGTGCGTTGCTGCTCTAGGTAATGAGATCTCACTCATTACCTTGAAACTCGAAGTGACGAATAAGTTGTCCCTTCGAGCTCTAGTCGATTGTGGGGCGTCCAACAATTTTGTGCGACGCCAATCGCTAGAAGATGGTCACTTTAAATTCAGTGAATGTGACACACCTCCTACGAGGATGACGGTACGTCTTGCGACAGGCGCATCCGTAACCGTCATGAAGCGTATAGTGAAGATTCACTATACGCTAGAAGATACCCAATACGACGATGACTTTATCGTATTGGATTTGGATGACAAATTTGATGTCATCCTTGGAATACCGTGGCTCAGAAGGTACGAACCACGGGTAAACTGGCAACATCGGACAGTAACGATGCCTGCCGCTTGTTCATCAGATGGCCATCTGATGAACGTTTTGGAGCGTCCACAAGCGTGTGGATGTACTACGAGTGAGTGCGATGGCCTCACTTGTGGTACGGTCGTTAGTACGACTGCACAAAACCTTAGTGTACCAAACGGTTACACTTCGGAGCAAAGTTCCGGCGGCTGTGAGGAAACACAGGCTGCGCCGAAGGTCCACCACTCGAATAAGTCGGGTGGACTGGGACAAAGATGTATCCCTAGAGGGGAACATCTAGAAGAGAAACAATCGATCGCTCAGGTTAAGCGAAACGATAATCCTAGATCGACTGGAGAGTCTTTCGTAGAGGATCTCGCTGTGGTTGCGCAACCCCAGCTAGAGGAAGTAAAGGGAATAAGTCCCAAGATTACAAATACGGCGGAAATAAGTTCCCCGAAACCCGCGGGAATAAGTCCCCGGGAAGACGAAGGAATAAGTCCTTCGAAGCCTGAGGGAATAAGTCCCCAGGAAATGACAGAGACATTGAATGTCATAGTCAATAACGGATCATGTGTAGGCGCTTATACACTTGATCTGATTGCGCCTCCGAAGTTAACTTCGGAGATCACTCAGTTGCCAACGCTCGAACATAAAAGATTCTTGCGTGATCTGCGTAGTGGCAAAGTCAAGCAGATCTGCATACTCGTCGCTGAAGACGAGTATGTAACCGACATAAGGTCAGCAACAGTGTTTACTGAGAACGAGAGAGTTCTCAGTAGTTCATCTATGGACGAGAGTGTCCTAGATGAAAAGACACGAATTGAGCGATATGAGTCCCAATCATGGGAATCGCTCAAGGAAAATCATCTCTATGAAGATTTGGTTGAATTCAAGGATGTATTCCCTGAAACTGTTCCGTGCGAATTACCGAAGGATAAAGGTATTCGACACGAAGTCGAGCTTAAACCAGGCTCGAAGTACTGTGTCATGAAGCAGTGGCCACTGCCTCGTGAACAAGTACTTGCGATCGACAAGTTCTTTGCCGATCGTTTAGCAGCGGGCCATGTGAGGGAATCAACTTCCCCACATAGCTCTCCGACCTTCTGTGTGCGAAAAGCAACAGGAGGGTGGCGGATAGTGCACGCGTTTAACAAATTGAACGCTGCAACGGTACCGGCTCAGACGCCGATACCGAGGAAGGACGTAATCATTGATGGTATGTCAAAGAGTACCATCTTTTCGTCCATGGATTTGATGGATGGCTTCTATCAAATCCTAATGCGGGAACGGGATATACCCTATACCGCAGTTAGCACGCCTAGCGGCATGCTCTGGGAATGGCTAGTAATGCCACAAGGGCTCAGTAATGCCCCTGCCACGTTCAACAGGTGTGTATCACATCTGTTGAGGCCAGTACGAGAATTCGCGCCGAGTTATTTCGATGACGTATTCATCCATAGTCGAGCTATGGATGGAAAGTCGGACGTTGAGGTTCACAAGTACCACGTCCGACAAGTTCTTACAATCATGCGAAAGCATCAATTGTATGCAAACCTCAAGAAGTGTATATTTGCAGCAAGCGAAATACCACTTCTTGGGTGCATCGTTGGTAAGAACGGTGTACGTCCTGATCCCGAAAAGATCAAGGCGATCACCGACTGGCCCGTGCCGGTCGATGTCAAAGGTCTTCGAAAATTCCTTGGGCTAGCGGCGTATTTGCATAAGTATTCACGCAATTACGCCGAGATGACTGTACACCTCTCTCGTTTGTTGAAAAAGAACGAGAGGTGGTTATGGAACGCTGAATGTCAACGCTCCTTTGAGGGTATCAAGCAGAGCTTGATACAATCCCCAGTCCTAGCAATAGCCGATCAGGACAGGCCATTTCATGTGGTCTGTGATGCCAGCGATTTCGCAATCGGCTGTGCATTAATGCAGTACGACCTTGAAGGCGTTGAACGCGTCGTCTGCTATCAGTCGCGTCAGCTGCAACCAGCTGAGCGGAACTATCCAGTGCATGACAAGGAACTCCTTGCCATGAAGTATGCACTCGCGAAGTTCAGAGTCTATCTATTAGGAGATAGACCCTTCGTTGTTTACACTGACCATGCGTCCTTACGCACGGCAGTGAACAGCCCGCACCTTTCACAACGAATGGCGCGGTGGTTGTCATTCTTTGCAGAATACAACTTTACGGTCGAGTACAAACCAGGACGACTTAATGTCGTCGCTGATGCACTCTCACGTCGTCCCGACTTTGAAACAGTCGCGAAACCCAACAGTGAGACAGTCACTGTTGCGGTTATGACGTCCTCAGTTCCATCTACAACGTTGTATGATGATGTGAGGCGGGCATACGCCCAAGATGGTGAGATAGTGAAGTTGTTGTCACATCTCTCCCAACCATCTCGAGAATCGTTGAAACGATTGTCGTCTGCGTATCGATCTGCATCAGATCGATACACTACTCGTAACGGTTTACTGTACTATACAGCCGTTTCTGGTGACACACCACGTGTTGTCATTCCAGATGATACTGATCTGCGTTTGCGGATCATGTTCGAGTATCACGATGCTCCTATAGGAGGACATCGTGGCCGAGAGAAAACATATCTCACGGTACGTCGAGACTTTTACTGGCCCCGCCAGTATCAGTTTGTGCGAAAGTATGTTCGCGCATGCGAAGTCTGCCAACGAGTGAAGTCAAGTCCTTCACTGCGTGCACCTTTACAGCCTCTACCGGTTCCGGCTGAGTGCTGGGAATCCATCTCAATGGATTTCGTCTTCGGGTTACCCAAAGACGCACGCGGGAATACGGGTATTCTCGTATTTGTTGACAGATTCAGCAAAATGGTACACCTTGTGGCTGTACCAGAGACAATCACGGCAAGTGGCTGTGCTTGTGTCTTTATTGACACCATCTTCCGACTTCATGGGTTGCCCCGTGAACTCGTATCAGACAGAGATCCACGATTCACTGCTGATTTCTGGCGTTCCGTGTTCAAATCACTCGGAACGCGCTTGAAGATGTCAACATCTGATCATCCAGAGTCAGATGGTCAGACGGAACGTGCCAATCGTGTCCTTGAAGAGATACTTCGAGGATACGTACACTCCTTTAAGAGTTGGAGTGAGTTTTTGCCGATGGTAGAGTTTGCCATCAACAACTCGGTGCATGCGTCCACGACACATACACCGTTTTACGTGAATGGCCTGCGCCATCCGCGTGTACCCACCTTACTAGAGTGTAACTCTGGTTTAAGGGGGGGAGGGACTCGCGCGAGCAAAAACCGATTTGGTTCACGCTCATCACGCTCTGACGAAGAAGTCATTGCGTTTGATGCCGATATCGATAACATCAATATCGAAGAAGATGATGCCAGTGAGAGTGCGGAAGCCCTCACTGAAGAAGATGATGCCAGTGAGAGTGCGGAAGCCCTCACTGAAGGAAAGGTTGATGTTGCTGCAGTGCGCTCACAGCACACTGAAGCTAACGAGTCATCAGATGAGTTCATACTGGCTCGTGAAACGGTAGTCCGTTTTGTGCAAGACTCCATCGCCGAAGCGGTGGATAAGCAAAAGCAAAACGCTGACAAGAATGGAAGGGCAAACACTCTTTTATTTAATAAAGGTGACTTAGTCCTACTGTCTACGGTTAATCTACCAAAACATGTAGTGACTAACTTGGGTAGCAGTAAACTACTACCCAAGTACATTGGCCCATTTCGTGTATTGCACCGCCTAGGCAATGCATACACGATCGAGTTACCACGTAAGATGCGAACGCATCCCACGTTTTACGTTGGTCGGCTTAAGCCGTACCATCAGTACGCTGCTTCTTCCGATGAAGAACGCCCTTGCGCTCAAGCATCTCGCAGAGAGCCTTGTGCTCCCGATGGTGGGCATCAACAAGGGTCTGAAGAGCAGTTATCTCAGCCCGAGACCGATCAACAATCCCACGAGCTACCCTTAGCTCGTCACGAAGAGATGTCAGAGATCTCTCGTTCTCAAGCTGAGCAAAGGCAAACTCAGCTCGATGCTTCGAGGCAGTGTCCACCATCTGGAGACGCCTATTCCGCTCATGCTCGAGATCGTCGCGTAACCCTTGCGTTACGCGATCAAAGAAGCTCTCGGGAACACACCGATCCACATGATCGTGTGGAGAGCGTCTTTCCTCCTCCTCCACCTCCATTAGAGGACTCTCGCGGTGGCCAGCGCTATCTAGTAGAGCAGCTGTTGAACCACCGCGACGTGAACGGACGTCGGACGAGTTACATCGTCCGGTGGCGCGGCTATCCCCCGTCCTGGGATTCTTGGGAGCCCCGCTCCCAATTGATGGTTGACGTACTGGGTCTGGTCGAGCAGTACGACGCGACACATCCTGTGCCGCAGAAGGACCGCCGGAGAAAGTCTTCCCGGCACGGTCGTAAAGGGATTTCAGGTTGTCAATCCCTTCGTACATCTCAGTAGAGACACGTACGCGCCACCACGGGCTGGTAAGGAGGTAAGCCTCCTTAGGTGCTCGTGCAGAGTTGTTCACACAACATGGGCACGAGTCTCCCCAAGAGAGGCAGGGCAATCCTTTCTCCCTTGACAGACGATGCAGCTTGTAGCGTGCACCTGTCGGGGTTCGCTTTTCAAACTTATCACGAGCTTTGATAAGTTTGTCGTTCCAAGCGTCACGACCTACATCCTCGAGATTATGGATGTAGGCGTTCCACGCCTGAAGTAGTGAGGGACCATCACGTTTGTGATTCCCACTGTACCATCGATGTCTGAAGAAAGCATCGATGAAGAACTCATGTTCAGCGCGATAGTCTTTCGCGCTGGGGTCAAGGTGATGAATCCTTGACGAATCGAACAATCGTGTTCGATAACGATCACTCGTCGTCGCCGACAAGTGATCCATGACAGATTTAGGAGGCATCCATGCCTTCTTTTCTGGAGCGAGACGCAACACATTGCGGTCCCGCTCTTCCTGCGACGTGCCGACAGAAGTACTGGCATCTCGCTGTGAAGTGGTGTCCATTGGAGAAACGACACCACTATTAGCGCCCGAGTCTCGCGACCTCGAGCGCCTTCGCTTCGGCGATGGTTCATCTGACTCATCAGATGAACCAAAGATGCTGCGACGCAAAGCATCGTCCATGCCACGCTTGGCAGGCGGCTTGGATTCAATTGCCGTCGATACGGATCCGTCATCCGTATCAGGAGAGTACGAGACACCGAGCTCGTACTCTGTGAAGACACGAGTGTCTTCATGACCAGCGCCTGCATCACCAGGTGATACAGGCTGAGTCGATTCAGCAACCGATGGGACATCAGTTGCTGTAGTTTCTGCTTCGGCGTCCGCACAGAGACGTGCAGACGCGCTCTCGGCGGCCTTGCTCGCGCATCGCATGGGCTTGTTTACCATGCGATGAGATGTTGGAAAGTGGACGCGGACCAACAAGTGCAAACCCCGTCCCAAATGATTTGGGACGAGTATCCATTTAGTCAATCAGTCACTAAAGTGACTGATGGTTATGGGGGGGGTGATGTAACGGGGTGAATCGTTACATAACAATTTATAAGAAATTGTTAATAGAATATAACTATAAGAGTTATATTCTCAGAATATTGTCATAAGGAAAATATTCTGTAGCACTTCCAAGTAGTTCCTAATTGGTTGATATAGGCCATTATATCAACCAACGAAGACGCGCCACGACAGACGCACGCAATGAGTGGTGAGCAGATAACTGATTTACACATTTGTATTTAGACATAGTTAGATGAAGATAAATAGTGATTTATTGCAGACATTAACTATTATAAATACAGTTCTACTTTTTACTCTAACCAAGTACTCGCTTCTTCTTACCGTCTTCCTCTGCACGTACGAGTGTACGTGAAGTTACGAGGCACCGCCTTATTCTGTTATCAGAATAAGTAGCTTGTACTGTCACCAGTACAAGCTTCAGGGTGCCCCGTTACACACCACGGGCCAGCCAAGTCCACAGAGATGAAGGCAGACCTCGAGCTGACGTGCAGCATCCGCTCGGCTCGCCGTGTTCTGTATCGCTGCTACTTTCTGCAGTACTCCAAGATAGAGGAGATGATCGAGCTTAATGCAGCGATCAAGGCCGCGTGAATACAGTGTGCGTCTGAGGAGATGAAGACCCAATAAAATTGGAAGGTTGTTATCTTCTCAGAAAAGAAAAGTTTAGCTTTGGCGGCCCGGACGGATCCCGCTTCTACTAGTGTGATCTTCGTTTTTTAGTGTAGAAGCCCGTTCGGCGCATACAAGGAGGCGGTAGAACCATGCTATGGGGGTCTATTAGTTGAGAGTTGAAGAGCGAGTTAGCGATTCTCGAGCGCCGCCGAACCTCTTCCCACTATGTATAAATTTGTGGGGAAGTCCAATTCCCTTCGCTTACCTGGAGTATATTACGTAGTTTTCCCTATAGCAAGACAATGATCCGATACACACTTCTCGTGATACGAAGGAGTTCTTCTCTCAGATGGAGCTGACGGTTAAGAATTAAGTTGCCCGACCCTCTAACCTCAACATCATCGAAAATAAGAGGTCCATAATGTCTTGTGTGGTTGCAAATGACAATCAGTATAATTCGCGCATGTAACCCCAACAGACCATCTTAGATGCCTGGGGTTCGATCACACTGGACAAGGTTCGAGCTCTGATCGGCTTCATGCCTCGGTGCTGTGGGAAGACCACGAAGAGGAAATATGACAATACTGACTATTAATCTTCACTCAACTCAAAACATCTATATCTTAATAAATAACTTTATACGTCTACTTTGCTCAGTAACTTTTCCACCCTGCATTTGTTAAGTTGTACGGGAGCCCCGTACAGCCGTAGCAAAACGAGCAAATAGCCACAATCACGCGTGGCGCCTGCGGATTGGCTAAACACATCAAAACAGCGTCTTAAACCGACCAGTAGAAGCCGAGATGTTGTAAGATTTGGGGGTGTTCGAATAATTATGATCGTGAGTGTACTACTGGCCACCTTCTATCGAAAAATGTCACATTGAACACCCAAGCGAACACGGCGGACGGACATCCCTTTTTAGAGATGGGTTAAGTAACTATCCCCATTACAGCACCCGAAGGTATTTACCGCAATCCTTCCAATCTGGACTATTCAGTGAACTATCCCCAATTTTCTAACTCGCACCCTGTGGGCTTACGCCACCTAAAGACTCATTGTATTGCGACAGTAGATCTCGACGCTATCACTAACCTTATAAATGTAGGGATAGAATGTTTTACTGAAATCACCCGGTAAACCTTTGGTCTGCTGTGAGATCAAAGGGTGATGTTTTAATGAGCATACGCAAGGTTATAATCAGACCTATTACATCGTTCATTCTCCTGTGTCTACGCGTCTATGTGTGTCTGTGAATAAAGCGACTAGGTGTAGCTCACCCGTACTAAAATGCAATCTAGCATGTCCCCCCTCATAGGTACATAGGCATATCCTAAGTCACTCTTTGGCTAGGTCACTATTGTGACGCACGCACGTGATTGGCTGTAATCGATCGAAGGTGAATGTAAACATGTAAGCAAACACTGGACGCTGATAAGCAAAGGTTGATCGTTTTGCTTGAGCATGCTTCTAGATTAATTTAGAGATCTACAGCCTCATACTCATTCTTCAGTGACGATTTCGTATAGTGTATTGCAACTTTATTCAATTCTATGAACTGATTTACTGATATCAAAAGGCGAGCTCCAAAGATTTCTTCCCTATCTTGATGCTGATTTCTTCACCTTAAATTGAGTGCATTTCTCACTAATTTCATTGTACTAAATGAAATGTGGTATTAAGTATCACATGTTGTTCCTATATAGATAAAGTGCAGCAATAGTAGAGACACCGTTGCAAATGTAAACTTCGTAGCAGTCCGTAAGACTGAGTTATTGTCGAATGAGTTTAACATGCCCATGTAATGAAGAATGATACCAAATGACCATTTAGCAGTAGATGGGTGTTTCGTGATAAAATTTCTCTCTATAAGTTTTACTCTTTACGGATGCGGACATCTGAAGCAAAAAGTGACAGTAGCAATCGTTTCCAGATCGAGCAGACCAACTTCAATATGTATCGCTAACACAATGCATACATAACAATCGCTTGGTGCAAAATTCCCATGTTTTTATCGTAAGCGAAGGTGTCAAAGTCGTTAGTATGATACTGTTATGGTCTGTAGATGACGTCCATCCCTACAAAAATAGAGCAATAAAGAAAAATACTGCAGTAGGGGGGGATAAGGAGGAGGTTATTTTTGCCAATGGTTCGTGTTGTCTGTCTCCAATGATAGCGCTAAAGATTTAGCGGTACTACTCCAAAAATTAAAGACCCCTCATTTCTTTCGAGTAGCCCATTTGACGAAGACTGATGCACCCCAAATCGTACCATAATATATCACCTTTAAGCAACACTACCCCCCCCAACGACTGCTGCATAGCGTTACTACCACGATTAATTCCGATACAAACATTGATGATGAGATACTTCTAAACACCGGGTTGGAGCCTTAAATGCTCGAGTTAGAAATGCAACACGAGATGATGACACGCGTAAAGTTGTATGTGCTATTTTTTACTTTATTAAGCTGTCTCGTCAGGTCACGTAGATGCACCATATCGAAATCTATTGCAATTTTTGCAGAATTGTCAACCATTTTACATTAACTACTGTTATGTGAATGCTGTGTAGTTTTTCTTCTCATCAAGAAATTTATCAAGCGGCTTTTAGTAGCCGATATTATCAAGATGCTTGATCTAGTTGACTCAATAGAAATGATAAAGGTAGCAGCACTGAACATCAATTTGCTTCGAGGTTGTGTCCGTTGGTCAAATTGAATATCGATTCCGTCTTTGTTGATGATTGTAAGAAGTTTGCATCCCCTGATATCTTGATTTAATGTGCGAGAAAGTTATGAAATATTATACTTATGCGGCGTGAAATTATAGTGAAAGTGGCGGTAACTATTTGGTTTGCGATTTAGCTCCGACTAACGCCATCAAATAATGGTTTACATCAATTAGTGAATAAAAGGATATCGCTGAGCTACGCTTCTATGCGCATACTTATGTGATTGGTATACATTAAATAGTGAATACAAGGATATCGCTGAACTACGCTTCTGCGCGTATACTTTGTAAATTTATCTTTGTCTCCTATTTACGTATGTTTTGCTCGATTACGTGAAGACATGTATTATTGCTGTGAAAACGGTTTCACATTTGAAGGATCTAAATTTCGTAAAAAGTAGCTGCAGGCGGGGCTGGGTACGGGCATCTAGCCGGTATCCCTCTACTTGACTTTGCAAGCAAACCAGCCGATCAAAATTGGTGCATGACCCTATGACTACGAAACATACGAGCATGAGGTTTTCATTGAACTTAACCAGAGGCTTGGAAAATCAATCGGACGCGATCTATTTTGGGCTATTGGTATAAGCATAAGAGTGGTATGAGAAATAGAAACATAAATCGATTTTGAACTGTTCAATGCGTCTGGACAGTTTCGCATTGTAAGTGATAGTATAGCATTTGCTATTGCTTGGAGACTATCAATCTTCCAGACGCAAAGAGGTCTTTCACGTGTCCACAAAAGTTGTGCGACAATCTCACTTACGATCTAAGTAGTGCTCATACACATCAGCTTCATCATCGGTAGCACTCTTACGTTCTCAACATGTTGGCATATAATCTGTACATTATAAGCCTTCAATTGGTGCGGTCAACAGCATAATTCAGGTGCACAAGATTTTTATTGGATGCAAAGATACGCCGGCCGACGACACTAGTCCGACATAATGTAGATCGATCAATGTACAGAATCGTTCAAGTGTAGTAAGCGATCAAACCCACAAATGTAAGTTGTGCTCCTACACGCACGCCTGGAACTGCGCGATTTGATGAAGCCTATGATGTGTGAGACAGTGGATATGAATCGATGCAAAAGGACAAAGAAGACAGTTAATTTCCACTTGTAAACAGCGTTTCAGAATTTACAAATTTTGTGTATAGCGACAGTAAATTGGCGACGCTAGAGAATATTATGACAAAAGGTTACGGATAAGGTCAATGAAAGTCTGCTCGGTAGTAAGCCTCTTTCCAAATTAAGTTCCGACATCATGGTGTTTATTGTTGTAATAAGGACACTTCACTCACACGATGCAATTTTGGAACTGTCGTTCATTTTTTCCATACAAGTCCCACTTTCCTAACATACAGGGGCAAGCTAAACTTAGGACCATCACAACTTGGGACCTTGAGACTGGATGACAATGTAACTCAGTTAGGCTAACTGTCACCAACTGCCACCAACATTCATCAACTTTCGTCAGCGTATCAACTATCGTCAGTTTATCTCAAACTCATTCCAACATTTATGTCATGCACGTGCTTCGTTCGCTACTTTGGTTATCGTAATTGGCGTTATAGTGTCTTGATGCATTGTGAAATCAAGGCGTTCAGTCTGATTTAAATCGCATTGTCGACATACGGTGCTCGCTATTACACGTCTGTAACGTGCTGACCACACCCATTTCCACCCCCTTTAGAGCGAATTTGAATAAATCATACATCGTATTAGTGAGGCGCAAATGTGTAAGGTAGGTGTTGAGCATACTTGGTTCGATAACCATCATGTTGAGTGACGGAAAGCACAGAGAATGCTAAGATAGAGAAAAATCTTCACTCTGTGTCTGCCCCTCTCGAGCCGTTCCTGTTCTACCTACATTTAAGGTGCAAAACATCCGTAAAGTTGTTGTTCTGCCAGATTTAACCTCATACGTTGCATCAAAGTATCATAGCAATGATTATTGTGCTAATGACCGTTCAGTAGGGGTATTTGGGGTAACAGCCAAAACCGTCTGATGTTCAAGAGTTGATTAAATGTGATTTACGACTCGTAAGCATGGAATTAGACCTTAACTTGAAGACGTATGCGGCTTGGTCGATCTGTATAATTACTACAACGTCAGAAGTTCTTTTTTTTGGATTTCGGCGCTACAGACGAGATATTTTGGAAGTCTTACCTCAGGTTCAATACTCGACTCGTAGTAGTTTGCCAAGTCAAATTACATGTTCCAGTTTGTCGCAGCAACTCCTTACGGATGTCATGCCATACACACCACGAAAAGGATCATTGTTTATTGAAAAGTGATCATAAATGTGCACATTGTGGTGTGATTCAGAATCCACGCGCAGTATGTCGGATGGCCGGGAAAGAACTGCTTGATACACGCATACTCCTCCCTGTATTGAACAGGATGGCGAAATTTGCATTGCTACTTAGTAAGCCAGGCAAAATCCTAGGATACTTTATTTAAGATCTGGTGGCATTCTAGCTGACAGTGTACGCGACTAGTATTTTCAGAAAAGCTGATGTAGTGGATGCGTTGCTTGAATGCAACAGTTTTGTTTCATCAGACAGCTCTGGTCGCATCATTCAATCATAATGGCCGCACGTGACATTCGAAATACTAGAACTTCTTTGCGTTCGCATAATAAGAAAGACTATGTGTACACAATTACTAACATCGTAGTTCCGCACTACTGTTGCTAGATCCACCTTGCGAACATCTACGTTTATCAAGCAGCACCGAAAAAAACTCTGTAATTAATCTTTTATGTTCGACATTGCATTCTGACGGAATCACATACCAGTATTCCAAGAAGCAGCTTCAATATAGTGCCACTGGTTGGTGAGGCGAACAATGCATGCATCATTTGCAAGCTTATCGTACGATGTGACGATGGAGCTCGTCCACCTCTGCGATTGAGAAGTCACTATGTCTTTGGATGGAGTTGCAGAGAACGGATGGACTTGCCGGAAGCCAGCTTATCAAATGGTGAAAGCCCTACAAAATGCTGACCAGGGTCGATTCAAATTTCAATGGCAAAGGTGTGAGGCAAGATTCATGCTACAGTGTAAGCGACTCCATCGAGCAAATCGAGAGAAATGGAGACGTATGGTATCATCCGAGTGTAAACCTAGAAGCGTTCAGGCAGCTACACATCTTCATCATCTTCGTGGTTACGACCAAAGCACAAAGTTCTAACTTTTTCTCTACTTCGCGCCTCATCAACAAAAAACCTTTATATTTATGTCTATACTATCTGATCCTCAAGTGGTGCTTCCATGCGTAGCGAATCGCCCATACACGTATTCAGGTTTCGCATAAATCTATATTGGATGTCCGGCCGTGACAACTTGGACGATTCTGCGGATAACTCGATGATGTACACAAAGGCGGCTTCGTTCGATCAGGAATTGCTCCAAACGCGGACGCAATACCTAGCTGCCGAATATCCGTGCGAACCACGACTTTTTGACAACATCAGCGTCATCACTACTACCTTGAACACTGAGTACAGTCGTTCCGTTGTCAGAGTTTGCATCTGCTATCTGCCCAAATGCTGTTGACTCTTGTTCACGTCCTTCTAGCTTGTCGTTTCTCCAGCTTTTCCGTTGATTGTCACGGCCACCGTTTTTCTGTTTTTGAAACCGGGACCTGTCGAACTGACCGCGTCGAGGAGCGTTGGTGGCACCAGGAGACCACCGCGTTTTTATCTCATCGCGATTGTATGTAGTGTTCACAAGCCCCTGTTCGACAAGCTCCAGCACGCGTGTCTTTAACTCCATCGCCAAATCGTTTTCAGCAAAAGTGTTGCTGAAGCGGAAAGACAACCACAAGTAAAGATCAATGATCTTTGCCTTAATCTCGACGTCACCCAGCGCTTCAGCAGTGCGAGGTGGATACTTTGGTAAGTAGATATCCAGCTTGACACTTTGACCCAACGAGTGAGCACGGGCGTACTCGAGGAAAACCTTGCGAGCCAAAGGGTTCCGTAGGCTCACAGGAGCCATACAAAACGTAAACCGGTCGGATAGTGATAACTCGGCGTCGCGCAGCAGTGTCGCAGCATTTTTCATATCCTGATGGTTGCACATAAAGTAGTCACCGTCTAGACGCGCCAACATCACGTACTTGTCCACAAGGTCAGCAAGATCTCCGATTCCTGGCAACTGCTTGGCAAACTCTTCCATCTGATCGGAAGACGGAAACAAACCCGCAGACGTGAGCGGCGTCGGCACTTCATCGTACGACTCTTTCAAATACTCCAAGTCTTCTTTAAGCAGACACGTCGCCACACCAGAAGCATAGTCACTGCCGTACCGACCTGCTCGTCCAGCAATCTGTTTAGCCAAAGAAGGAGGAATGTCGATCATGCCGCCACTGTTGCCCGACCACTTCTTCACGGTTGCGAATACAATGCGCTTGATATTCAAGTTCAGTCCCATTCCAATGGCGTCAGAAGCAACTAGAATGTTGTAGTCATTATCGCGTTCATTGAACAACCGGGCCTGTTGCGATCGGGTCTCAGGGGGGAGCTGGCCATAAATGATGCAGCACTTTTCCCCGGTCTTCATTTCAATGTCACGCTTGATCTGAAAGATATCGCGACGGGAGAACGCCACAACACAGTCTCCTGGACGAATCTCGCTGTAATTGTTCAAATGAGTTGACGAAATCTCTAATGGTGAACGGCGCTCATACGAACGTAGCTCAAACTCGTCTCCTGAAGTCTCCGCAAACTTCTTGACGAGGTGCACCGCTTCACCTGATCCACACACGTGGATCTCTTTTGCTTGCAGTCCAAAAAGAGCACGCGTCCACGCCCACCCTCGTTGCGGATCTCCAATCAACTGAATCTCATCAATTACAGCGACATCCCAAGGCCTGTTAATGTTTGCCATCTCCACAGTACACGACACGTGCGTCGAGTGCGGCATGATTTTCTTCTCCTGTCCAGTCACAAGTGACGTATAAAGCCCGTCGCTGTTCATACGTTCATAGATTTCCAAAGCCAACAGACGCAACGGACCACAATAAATACCGCCGTCTTCTCCAGCTTGTTTCAATCTCTCGAGAGCTTCGTACGTCTTGCCACTATTTGTTGGTCCTTCATGGTACACAATCTTCCGCTTCATTGCTGTTGCAAATGGGTACATCTCATGTGGCAGGCGCAAATCCGTGAGTTGCTGGAGCGACAATGCATTTGCATCATCCTCATCAGTTGGCAAGTAACGACTGGCCTTGGCAAAGTCGAGAAAAAAAGGATAAAAAATAAACGAATTGTGCCGCTTGACGTCGTCCAGGTCCTGCACAACGACCACAATAACACACCAAAGAATGTAAAAATAAATAATATTCCACGTCAGAAAAACAAACCACGTGTCCAAGTGAGATAAAAACTATAGAACATTAAATCCATAACTAAATAACGAGATAGATAGAATAGAAGCAATGAAATACACACGCACGCAACACAGAATCACAGCCAGTCCGTACCCGTACAAATGCCAGTAGTTCCGCTTGGTCTTCAAAGTACTGGGACGGACTCGAAAGAAACGACTTACGAAACGTCGAGGCAGCCAGCGTCCACTCAGCGGCGTTCAGTCCCGCCTCCACGACCAGCGCTTTGACCTCGTAATTGCGTGGGAAATTGCGCATGCGACGATGCACGCGCTTGGCCAAGTCTGGCGGCCACGTAACCGATTGTGGTGTTGCAGTCTCGTCTTTGGTAGCACTTGCTACCGAGAAGGTCCGGGAGTGGGGTACGCTGGGGGTTACATTGTCGCAATCCGTTCGAGACGAGGTGGATGTGTGTAACCAATGAGCTGCAGAGGAGGAGGAAGTCAATGAACGAAGGCGAAGAGGTTTGGATGCGCGATGGGGCAGGCGCAAAGCGGGGATAGGTGACAGTACGCAACGTGCGACTCGCAGCATTGTCGACTGTTCGTAGCCAGTCAGAGCGGAAGTGGGTTGATTTAGGTATTCTCGTGGGGAGGTTTCAAAGGTGGTCCACGTGAGGTTTGCGGACGGGTAAGTACGCACAAAGGAAGATTGTATTTATTGTGAGAGGGAATGAGGTGATGACGCGTGCGGTATTATAAGGTGATAGAGATGGATCGATATTCTGCTGCATTTGACCAGTGAAGTTTGGCTACATGACGCTCTTTCGTTATAAAAATGCATCTTATCGAGCTTACATCGAGGAGGTGTGACAGTTGAGGTGTTTTCGACACGTAATTGTAGATAAGCTCGATCTTGTCAAAGCTGCCCCGAACAGATGTACAAAAATAGCGTAGTGAACCAAGGATCTAATCGAAACATTGCATATGTGCACGTATCTCTATTATCGTAGATGACTTCATTACATGACTCCTTCAATAACTTCACTACAAGACTCCTTCAATAACTCCACAGCTGCGTTCGTGCTTTTGCACCACGTTATGAAGCGTTTCAATAGTCGACAACAAATGACCGTGAACGATTTGTAGGAGTTGTGTCTTTCGAATTTCTACTACGACCCCCCTACTAACACGCTTGCACGTACATTCGGACGAGTGTGGTGTACCATTTTAGCGCATGCTATAACCCTACTTCCTGGCTGTAATATACGTGTTAACCAATGTATGTGTTATCTGCATGACGCGCGCTTGCAATACGGTGAGATGGACAAATGTGTAGTTTATCAGTCCGACTATCAGTTAGATCGTACAACACCTTACCACGCATTCGTCCACGCTCGCAACCGATTGGCACTAGATATGTCCATATACAGACCAGAAGGCGCCACAGCGCCGATGAAGTAAATGGGTTGTAGTCATACTTTCCACAAAAATTACGTCCGCTAACCGATCCCAAGAACTTCCAATACTTGTATAGAGTAGCTGAAGGGACTGAGACACCTAATGCGGATGCAAGCGAAATAACTTGCCATGTTTGACTACGTTGTATCGTAAATAAGCTCATGTAACGGAGTAAAAGAACTGGTGGGAATGACTGATCCGAGGACAATGGTATAGCTTATAAGATGTACATCGATAACTCCACACACTTATCACTAGAACTATCGTCCACTCATGCTATCGGATTTGCAACGCACAGTAACATTTTCAATTGATGGCAGCTCACCAAAATCATAGATCATTACAAGGATGGCCAATGTGTTGCCCGATACCAAACACACCTTTACCTCCTGGTGCTAGTGTAATACCTTGAGCTTATAAATGTCATTACCACCGCCAACGACTGCAACAAGTCAAACAAAGGCAATGCTACTACTCCTTTTAGGCAGCAGTGGCAATGATACGCCTGCTGATAGTCGCCGTACGCCTCTTCCACACGGATTGTGTGTGAAGCGTTGTTGCATATCGTGCAGCTATGGGGCATCCTGTCAATCTATTTGCTAGAAGAGAAGTCAACATCAGTCTATGTACATATCGCTAATCGCTCTACCGAGCCAGACTTGTTGCAATCTCTTACATACACAAAATGAACGCCAGCGCACAACAACAAGCAACGCGATTGGCAGCGTGTCTACAAGAGGGTTGCCTCGAGAAAGCAGATTACAACTACTGGTACTTCTCACAAGTCCATGTTTCGATGTCGACCTCTGTATAAATCATCGCGAGTTCGACTGCATGAAACTCGTTGCGATGATGTTGGGTAGCATAAGTGCGGAAGCCACTCTTTCTTTCAATCTTAGCAGTCCCAATGCTCAAATCTGCGACGTCACTTACGGACTTGTTAGTTGCAACTGAATGAGCTAGTCCAGCTTTTTACAGGTCTTGGCCATTCGCTTGGACATGTGGCTGCATGTTGCTGCTTAGACTGTAGAAAAGGTAGTAGAAATGCATAGATAAATGGTGGTCCGCTAGGACTTGATTTAAGCTGTCTTCTATTCTCAGCTAGAGTTGGAGGAGCCCCCTAACTTCCTTCGTATCCTGGACTCGAAAAGGTCTTTCGGATGAAGGTACGATAAGGATATACCAGTATGCGGTCAACACACCTTCTGCTACAAAACAGACTGATCTACCGAAATGCACTGAAAAGCTGTTGCCTTGCGCGTCCAATTAGTTCCAGCGACGCTTGCCTTGTGCCAAGCCCCCCACGTCCATAACAACCCGCATCAAACAGCTCTAATCTGTCACGCATCCACCACTTTTCTTCCCGATGTGCAGCCCGCGCCCTGAATGCCACTTTCTACTTCGATTGAGGCTACAAAAGTGCCAGACGTCATGGAACAGCCATAGTGAATCGAATCAGCTTGTGTCAGTGCTACAAAGCATGCAGTGATTAACCGCACAAGAAGTCCCATTTTATTCAGTTCGCCAAAGCCGTCGATCTACGAGAATACTTGCTTCCCTATCACTAAGGCAATTTGCTCCCTATCAATCTGTTCGGCACTCAAGTACCATCCGTACGCTGGAAAAAGACTAGCGTTCTCGTTCCTTGAAGGCTGTGATCGTTTAGTAGCGCCAGAACAATACTTCTGGAAGTAGGGGTTTGCAACAGGCACAATCTTTGCTGATGGATGCTAGCAAATGCAGCTAAACAATTCGATATGATGAAGAGAGAGAAACATTCATGCGATGCAGATCGGAATGCCAAAGGAGTGTCCCCTCTCTCTTTCTGGAAAAACATTGTGTGCAAAATGCTTGGTGGACAATTGCAACTGCACAGTTCAGACCACATAAGGCGTTGGCGGATACAGGAAGGTCGATGAGCTTTACACGGTCTGGTTCACTTATTTGTCCATGTTTCCTCTATTCTAGGCGCGCGTGGCAAGCCATAGGTCAAATGTATCGAAAGACCTGTTACAATGAGATAAACTATACGTCAATCACGTCGCTCGTTTTAGCATGGACACGATGAGAAGGTGGAGTTATTCCTTCGGCTCAAAAAGTGCGCTAGTGGATTAGTGTCCCCTTTCCTCTTGGTTTGTGTCACTACTGAGCCTTAACTGCGTCGTTATTATTCACTGTTTGTGTGATTGAAAGGTGTGGTAAGCTATCGCAGTGCAAGATGATACGTATGCTCGACTTGTACATGATAACAGCGATGATGTTGCTGATAAGACTACTATGATTACCATAGGAGCACATGTTCGTTCTGCGTCTGCATCAACCACTCATAGACTTCTCGAAACTTTGCACGTATTTGCATGGCGATTCCTATAGTCTATGTTTCCGTGGTCAAGGTCATAACGAGCCGTTGCAGCTTCCTGTATATCGATACGCACAAAAATGTACGCCCTACCAGGATGGATGCGAGTTGTTCTGAGGTAGCAGTCTGTACAGAAAGGATACAGCAATTGCTTCGTAGAGCTAGATAGTCGATTTAGAGGTCAACGCTGCTTCCAGTTACGGACACAGCGCGACTGAGCTGAATTCGGCTACAACCTTCGGTAGAAAACAGGTTTGCGTACGGTTTGTTGATGGCGATGACGCTCTTGATTAAAACGAGCATCACGTTAAGGAGATCATCGCTAGCGAGTTTAGGTTTCAACGGACTGTGAAAATCGCGCAGAAAAACAACTAGACACCTCAATATAGAGGACTCTATTCGAAAGTGTAAAATTCCGGCTCGGTTCGCACGACAGGCATATCATTATTGCCTTCCAATTCCAATATAATTAATTGCTTTTTGCTGCCATTCAAATGTGACGCTCTGTAAGTAATCTATGATCAATTCGCTTTGAAAAATAAAATAGTGATTACATCGAGACCAACAACCGTGCACGAGAGGTCCCGGTGTACCACATCAACTTTACGTACACACCCCACCCCACCCCACAGTCGCCGCACTTAACAACTACTTTGCCCTCCTGCACACAAAACAAAACCCCACCACCGCTCCCCTCCCCCTTCAGTAGCAAATTGTAGCTCTACAAAAACGAAAGGTGAGCAGCTCCTACCAACTCCTAATGCCCCTCCCACTTCACCTCTTTATCACCTCAAGACTCACTCACGTCTCCCTATTGCTATTGCTAACTGCTGCTTGTGCTGTTCTCGTTCTTGCCTCCATTATCCTCATCATTGCTACAATTATCCTCATCATTGCTACCATCATCATTACCATCACCATTATTGTTCTTCCCATCACCAATATTGCTACTGTGATCGCAATCCCCATAATTGTTATTGCAATTATTGCTCTTGTTTTTGCAATTATTGTTATTATCATTATCTTTTTATCGGTGTTTGTGCTGTTTCTAGGATGTTGTCGTCCACCGTGAAGAATTCCGTGCGCAAATCTGCGGCAGCTGCTGTTCCTGCGACGATCACCCGCAGTCTCGCAATAAGCCAAACGGGAGCTGTCTCGTCCACTAAAGACGTGGAGGAGATTGGTAGTTTCGGCCAAATGACGCAGCCCAAGCTGCAGCTCTTTGGACTGCACGCTCGCTATGCCAATGCGCTCTACAGCGTCGCAGCCAAGCAGAACCAGCTCGAGTCTGTGGAGAAGGAGCTCTTGAGCATTGAAGCCACGATCGCCAAAGAGCCGCACTTTGCCTCGTTCTTGCACGATCCAACGATCGCGCGCGCGAGCAAGAAGGAGGACATTGCCAAAGTAATGGACAAGGCCAAGTTTTCCAAGCCTGTGGCGGGACTGTTTGAAGTGCTGGCGGACAATGGCCGTCTTCCGGATGTGGCAGGTGTCATTGGCGCGTACAAGAAGCTCATGGGAGCGTACCGCCAAGAAGTGCAGGCCAAGGTCACGTCGGCTGACCCGCTGACCAAGACGCAGCTGGACCAAGTGAAAAAGGCACTGGCAGCTCGTGTGGAAAAGAACGAGACGCTGCTGCTGGAGACTGCGGTGGACCCGGAGATTCTGGGTGGACTCAAGGTGCAGATTGGCAACTACTTTATCGACTTGTCGCTGGCCACCAAGATCGACAAGATCAATTCGTTGCTCGCTTCGTCGAGTCAGCAGTGAAAACGCCCGAGATGCAGCTGAAAACATGTGGACATCATTGATCGCTTTCTAGGCGTCTTGAAGGGGACAGTGGTGGTTCCTTGTTTTTTTGTTCATGTGTGAGGAGTAAACGGAGGGTTCTTTTGTGTCTGCGACGCGTAGCAGCGCTGGGTTGACGACACCCGTGGAGGAGGAACTTAACATGGGAATGAAAAAAGAGCTTGGACTCGAACTCTGTGTTTAATGTGTCGATACGTGAATACTGGGAGCTGAGTGAAAGCCTCACGAAAAGCTCATCTAGTACATTGTGTCAGCCAAACCACTGTACAACGAAGTGTGGACAGACAATAATTGACGCTACTGAAGAGGTGTACACAGAATAGGCAACTTAATCTGCTCGTCCCTGGGGATACCAAAACGTTCTTAGCTGCTCGAGCATCCAAGCAAACTGTCGTCCCTCGATGACATTATCATGCCTTTTCTTCTTGCTCCTTGCTCACTTTTGCTCCGTGCTGAACTCGAGCGCGTTCCTTATGAACTAATAGTTCGACTTGAACACGCCATGGCTACCACCAGGCAGGACCCTAACAGCAGCCACCTTTGGACGACTTGTTGCCATTAGCGTGTGCTTGACCTAGAATGACCGAGTTTTGGCTGTCGTAACTGTATAAGCTCGTGCCTGCCGCGTTTCCTGCTCTCGATGCATTGTGACCTCGTGTCCGCTGCTCCTGATCGTGTTTCTTCAGCAGCTGCACTGCTAAACTCTCAAAAAGTGCCTGCACGCCTTCCCCCGTCTTGGCACTTGTGCGAAACACTCGAGCTCCAATCTTGTCTGCAAACATTTGCGCTTTACGAAAGTCAAACGTCGACGGCACGTCGCTCTTGTTACCCACGACAGCCAGCACAATATCATCGTCCACGTAATGCTGCAAATCTAGATCGTCGAACCCCAACAAACCGAAACCAGCGTCCATAGCCACGACCATACAGCAAAACAAAACAATAAAAAAAGACACAGAACACACACACGGTACCAATAAAAATAACATTACCACAACATAAAAAACAAGAACGTCGAAAAAAGAATCAGAATTAGAAACGCAAACGTTAGCAACGAACCAAGAGCCACAATCAATAAATAAAATAAAAACAAAACAAACACAATACTAACACACACACATCCATACACACAGACACAGACACCAGCACGAGACGACGCAGTGCGTACGCACCTTGCAGCCACTCTTGAATCTTCTCGAAACTCGCTTCACTCTGCAGATCAAACACGAGGATCGCCGCCTTGGCATTCCGATAGTACAGCGGCGCCATGGACCGAAACCGCTCTTGACCAGCCGTGTCCCAAATCTGGAGCGTCAATTTCCGGCGCGCGTCGCTGGCCGCGCCTTTCTCCGCGTCGTTGACAATGACCCGTTTCTGTAGAAACGACGCGCCAATTGTAGCGGACGTGGGCGTGGAGAAGCTGCCGTGGCAATAGCGCATGGTAATGGACGTCTTGCCCACGTCTGTGGGGCCAATGATGACCAGCTTGCGGTCGAGGCCGACGTCGTCCATGTTTCGATGGGGTTGACGTCTTTTTATTTATTTTTAAGGTTTCGATTGGTTGGGTTCTTTAGAACTATTTGGTTTCTACTTCGTTTCTATCGTGAGCGTCGTTTCTATCTATGGTTTTCGTTTTTTTTCTCAGAGCGAATTGTTAAATTAAAAAAAGAAAAAGAAGACGGGGGTTACAGGATTGATTGGCACAGTGTACCCGACATGGGAATGCCGAGTTGCTATATTAAGGTCGAGGAGCGAGTGCCGGGGCTCGTTTTTATCCAATGTCAGGAATTCAGTCGAGAGAACTGAACCAGGTGCTAGAAAAAAGAACAGCCACGTACCCATTACGGGTGGCTGGCAGCTAGGGAACGGGCTGTATGATGCATGGGTTAATTAATGAACGTGCTGTTGGGTTGTTGGGTGCTAGAGCTACTCGTTGATGATCCCTGCTCGGTAACGCCGTGAACCCCAAAGTGTGGCCGTCGATGCTTAACTGATCAATACTAACTGGATATAAAATCGAAGGAGCTTCCTCTGCTACCGAGAGAGATAGGCGACCATACCTTCGTACTATTTCAATTTGTCAAGTGCTACGAACAAGATCCGAGTTTCGAGTTACTGGTTGCTGATGGTACGAGACTTTTGCTGCCTTGAGTATAAATCATTTACTTGTTGGCCTTCTGTTTGCCCTCTATCGCTCCGAGGAAATTGTTTGCGGTCATCGGTGCGTGCGTGTGACTTGGACTTATTTAAGTGGTTGCAAGTAGTGTGACCTCAGTAAAGAGCTATGCCGGTATTGCATACCTATCAACATAGATCCATTGAACATACAGGCCAGTCGGCTCTGCTTGTGCCGTTGCACCTAACTAGAACTCTATTTGCGTAGATGGTCAAGCCATTGTCACTATTGGCATTTCAGTGTAAATAAGCAACATCTGTGAATTCGTTGGCCGATGTTGATGAAGCGTGAGATGTACTTATCACCGAAAAATTACAACTCGTACTCCGTCTACATCCAGCAGCTCTTTGTTGGGTGACTAGAACCTGATAGAGTGCAAAGCGTCATCATTCAAGACACCAAGACGTCCGCAGCCTGGATAGAAAGTTCAGCATTGTCCAAATTTATGAACGTTGGTACGGACTTGCAATTTGCTCGACCCTGTGTGTTTTAGCAGTAAAGTCGTCCATCAAGAACGTTGAACAGTTCGTAGACCAGTAAACTCAGTGAACATACCGATCCTTTGAAGGCGCAGTTCATTGCCAGCAAGACAAGGCTTCCTCTTCTCTAGTATACCAGGAAGCACTGCGATCTACCATTCCTCTGATCACTACTGTCGTACTTCAAGTGATTGTGTGCGGTTGCTGCAAGCCACGAGATTCCACTGCCTCATTATGGAGCCTAACGAAGCAGCCTCGAGATCACGCTATAGTGTTCCTGAGACATCAGTAAAATTGTAGTCAATGGGTGCCATTCGAAGATCGACTTATACCGCTAGGTGACCGCGTACGATTGAGAAAATATCTTCCTCAAGTTTCCTTAATCTGTATCACCTGCAAGATCGAAATCCTCAGACAAATTCAACGAGTCTCGTTTTTGGCGACTTCCGACAGGCTCGAGTGGAAAGATCAAAGTCGTCAAAAGACTGGAAGCGGATGTTCTAGGACTTATTAGCATGTTTTTAGTAACTTCGTGAAGAAACGAATCTGTTGAGGATGGACGTTTGTCACTACGGTCTAAAAGCACTTAAGTGCAACCTCGGGGGTTGTCTAGTCCGGCGCCGGTGCCGATAATACATTTTGTCACGCGAAGCCTCCAGGAAGCACGCGACTTGCCGCATGTCTTGACCGTTGGCCACACAACAGGTATCCACAATCGCTATTTAGCTTGCACGATCCGTGTAGCGCTCTCACTGATCAATAGATTATGCCACTTCCGGTTCACTGCGAAGCAAAACTGGAGTGACGTAATCTGCCGTGGGAGATGACGCTGACTACTCGCATTACAAATGGAGATGTGCCCGCGTGCCGCGTGCTGTATCGCACTCTGTACAACATGTAAGACATACCTAGCGTTTGCAGACAGACAGGCAGACACACAGACGGTCGGTTATTGATTTGAGAGCTCGGCATTTACCTTGTGCATAGTCGCTAACAGCTTCACCCATCGGGATCGCAATTAACAAAGACAACCATGTTAGGATCACGTGACAGGATGAACGCGCAACATTTCTTCTATGTGCATCCGGGCTCGAAGTGGAAACTGGTATCTGCGTTCCATCGCTTGAATTCCCGACAGCGGTATGAACGAGGCCACCTCCTATGACAACTTGATCCTCCTTAGTACAGTTTGAGAACAGGATAAATCTTGAAGTTGCTGCGGTGTACCAACATCGATCAGACTAATCTTGACAAGGGTAGCACAATGGTGACTAACTTGACTTCACATTTATGGTAGACGAATGAGGTAGCTTGCGCTGTGTCAAACGAAGCACTTGTTCCGCAATCAAAATTCGATCTTCATTGGCGGTTTTGCCACTGCATTGACCCACCTAATCGAAAGTGGATCGCGACATCTATGATACCTGCTGGACTGGTAGATGACCATATACTCGCTACAATCATTCTTCAAATTATGAGTATCTTCATCCGTCAACGCGAGGTACTTAACAAACTCCGTTAAATCCAATGCACTACCGCGCGTTCACCAATATTAATGCAAGCCAGAGGCGCTCTAGCTGCAATACATGTAAGTCCAACGTGATATGTGATATGCCCGACGTGGTGAGGGTATAATGGATGCATCAACCAAGATACGTCAACTGATGCTGCATCTACCCCACCACGTTCTTCGATGATCCCGATGTATTAACGGAATCTCTATGGTCTACATAACTTGCGACAAAAGAGGTTGAGTGTAACGGGGTGAATCGTTACATAACAATTTATAAGAAATTGTTAATAGAATATAACTATAAGAGTTATATTCTCAGAATATTGTCATAAGGACAAATATTCTGTAGCACTTACGAGTAGTTCCTAATTGGTTGATATAGGCCATTATATCAACCAACGAAGACGCGCCACGACAGACGCACGCAATGAGTGGTGAGCAGATAGTTGATTTACACATTTGTATTTAGACATAGTTAGATGAAGATAAATAGTGATTTATTGCAGACATTAACTATTATAAATACAGTTCTACTTTTTACTCTAACCAAGTACTCGCTTCTTCTTACCGTCTTCCTCTGCACGTACGAGTGTACGTGAAGTGACGAGGCACCACCTTATTCTGTCATCAGAATAAGTAGCTTGTACTGTCACCAGTACAAGCTTCAGGGTGCCCCGTTACACCTGGTAGCACTTCGTAGTCCGTCCAAGGACCACGTTCACATCCAACATGAATATGTTGGATGATGAAGATGACCAAAGCTTTCACGCTACGCGTGACGGCTACTCCCATTTGAGCGATGTCGAATGGGATGCGGTTGAACGGATGGGTTCAACCATGGGCATCCATGCTGTTAGCGTCATGCTAGAGGCTCTCAATAGAGATGCCCAACATGCTACTATCGCCAAGTTCATTCAAAATGAACTTGACGCTGAATGCGAGAAAGCAGCCTTGCTTCACCAACAAGGTTCTCAACAAGCAGAGTTGTTGAGAGAACAGGGTGCTCAACAGTTTGAACTGGTGAGGCAGCAGCAGGCTGCTGCTGGCGGGTCGATGCACTCGCGTCGACCCGAAACCTTGAAGATTGACATCTCCAAGTATAGGGGAGTCGAAGAGGACTCCCTCTTGAGATGGTTCGTCGAATTGGATGACGCCATAAGGGCGCGTCGCATCGACGACGGGGATATGCAAGTTGCATTTGCCCAGTCAAATCTGGCAGGACGTGCCAAGACTTGGGCACTGGGGCTCAAGTTGCACGACCCATATGCGTTTGGGTCGTTGGAAGTCTTCAAGTCGCGGCTCAGACAAACGTTTGAACCGCCTAGAGCTGAGTTCAGAGCTCGAACCGAACTCTTGAAGCTCAATCAGGGTAAGCGTGATGTGCACGCTTACGCGCAACATATACGACATCTCACGAGTTGTATAAGTTCCAATCCGGTGGATGAACACACGTTGTTTTCGGTGTTCATGCAGGGTCTTGCGGATTGTCCCGTCAAGACTCACCTGTTCCGGCTTGAACTAGATTCACTAGAGCAAACCATTTCCATTGCGGAGCAGGAAGACTTCAGTCTGAGACAGGCTCGCGCCAGCTCGACATCATATCGTCAACCGAGACGATATGACAACGGAGGTCCAGAGCCGATGGAACTCTGATATGTAGAGAGCGAGAAGGCTCGCTCTACAGACTACAAAAAGTTGCAGAAATGCAACAGATGTCAGAAGACAGGACACTACGCTTACGAGTGTAGTGCCCCTCGTCCAGTGTCTCGCAACACTGGGCGTAGTGACCGTCCACCCATGAGAAAGGGGCAGGGACGAGGGTCCGCTGTTGGTGCAAAGACGCAACAACGGGATGGACCGTCAAAAAACGGACAGGGTCAGTAGGCGCGGAGCACCCTACTGGTCCAGCAACGTCAAGAGAATTTGTAGGCCTCTTGATGAAGGTTGCTCCCAACACACAAACGTTGTGCGTTGCTGCTCTAGGTAATGAGGTCTCACTCATTACCTTGAAACTCGAAGTGACGAATAAGTTGTCCCTTCGAGCTCTAGTCGATTGTGGGGCGCCCAACAATTTTGTGCGACGCCAATCGCTAGAAGATGGTCACTTTAAATTCAGTGAATGTGACACACCTCCTACGAGGATGACGGTACGTCTTGCGACAGGCGCATCCGTAACCGTCATGAAGCGTATAGTGAAGATCCACTATACGCTAGAAGATACCCAATATGACGATGAATTTATCGTATTGGATTTGGATGACAAATTTGATGTCATCCTTGGAATACCGTGGTTTAGAAGGTACGAACCACGGGTAAACTGGCAACATCGAACAGTAAAGATGCCTGCCGCTTGTTCATCAGATGGCCATCTGGTGAACGTTTTGGAGCGTCCACAAGCGTGTGGATGTACTACGAGTGAGTGCGATGGCCTCACTTGTGGTACGGTCGTTAGTACGACTGCACAAAACCTTAGTGTACCAAACGGTTACACTTCGGAGCAAAGTTCCGGCGGCTGTGAGGAAACACAGGCTGCGCCGAAGGTCCACCACTCGAATAAATCGGGTGGACTGGGACAAAGATGTATCCCTAGCGGGGAACATCTAGAAGAGAAACAATCGATCGCTCAGGTTAAGCGAAACGATAATCCTAGATCGACTGGACAGTCTTTCGTAGAGGATCTCGCTGTGGTTGCGCAACCCCAGCTAGAGGAAGTAGAGGTAATAAGTCCCAAGATTACAAATACGGCGGAAATAAGCTCCCCGAAACCCGCGGGAATAAGTCCCCGGGAAGCCGAAGGAATAAGTCCTTCGAAGCCTGAGGGAATAAGTCCCCAGGAAATGACAGAGACATTGAATGTCATAGTCAATAACGGATCAAGTGTAGGCGCTTATACACTTGATCTGATTGCGCCTCCGAAGTTGACTTCGGAGATCACTCAGTTGCCAACGCTCGAACATAAGAGGTTCTTGCGTGATCTGCGTAGTGGCAAAGTCAAGCAGATCTGCGTACTCGTCGCTGACGACGAGTGTGTAGCCGACATAAGGTCAGCAACATTGTTTACTGAGAACGAGAGAGTTCTCATTAGTTCATCTATGGACGAGAGTGTCCTAGATGAAAAGACACGAACTGAGCGATATGACTCCCAATCGTGGGAATCGCTCAAGACAAATCCTCTCTATGAAGATTTGGTCGAATTCAAGGATGTATTCCCTGAAACTGTTCCGTGCGAATTACCGAAGGATAAAGGTATTCGACACGAGGTCGAGCTTAAACCAGGCTCGAAGTACCGTGTCATGAAGCAGTGGTCACTGCCCCGTGAACAAGTACTTGCGATCGACAAGTTCTTTGCCGATCGTTTAGCTGCGGGCCATGTGAGGGAATCAACTTCCCCATATAGCTCTCCGACCTTCTGTGTGCGAAAAGCAACAGGAGGGTGGCGGATAGTGCATGCATTTAACAAGTTGAATGCTGCAACGGTACCGGCTCAGACGCCGATACCGAGGAAGGACGTAATCATTGATGCTATGTCAAAGAGTACCATCTTTTCGTCCATGGATTTAATGGATGGCTTCTATCAAATCCTTATGCGAGAACGGGATATACCCTATACCGCAGTTAGAACGCCTAGCGGCATGCTCTGGGAATGGCTAGTAATGCCACAAGGGCTTAGTAATGCCCCTCCCACGTTCAACAGATGTGTATCACATCTGTTGAGACCAGTACGAGAATTCGCGCCGAGTTATTTCGATGACGTATTCATCCATAGTCGAGCTATGGATGGAAAGTCGGACGTTGAGGTTCACAGGTACCACGTCCGACAGGTTCTTACAATCATGCGAAAACATCAATTGTATGCAAACCTCAAGAAGTGTATATTTGCAGCAAGCGAAATACCACTTCTTGGGTGCATCGTTGGTAAGAACGGTGTACGTCCTGATCCCGAAAAGATCAAGGCGATCACCGACTGGCCTGTGCCGGTTGATGTCAAAGGTCTTCGAAAATTCCTTGGGCTAGCGGCGTATTTGCATAAGTATTCACGCAATTACGCCGGGATGACTGTGCATCTCTCTCGTTTGTTGAAAAATAACGAGAGGTGGTTATGGAACGCTGAATGTCAGCGCTCCTTTGAGGGTATCAAGCAGAGCTTGATACAATCCCCAGTCCTAGCAATAGCCGATCAGGACAGGCCATTTCATGTGGTCTGTGATGCCAGTGATTTCGCAATCGGCTGTGCATTAATGCAGTGCGACCTAGAAGGCGTTGAACGCGTCGTCTGCTATCAGTCGCGTCAGCTGCAACCAGCTGAGCGGAACTATCCAGTGCATGACAAGGAACTCCTTGCCATGAAGTATGCACTCGCGAAGTTCAGAGTCTATCTATTAGGAGATAGAACCTTCATTGTTTACACTGACCATGCGTCATTACGCACGGCAGTGAACAGCCCGCACCTTTCACAACGAATGGCGCGGTGGTTGTCATTCTTTGCAGAATACAACTTTACGGTCGAGTACAAACCAGGACGACTTAATGTCGTCGCTGATGCACTCTCACGTCGTCCCGACTTTGAAACAGTCGTGAAACCCAACAGTGAGACAGTCACTGTTGCGGTTATGACGTCCTCAGTCCCATCTACAACGTTGTATGATGATGTGAGGCGGGCATACGCCCAAGATGGTGAGATTGTGAAGTTGTTGACACATCTCTCCCAACCATCTCGAGAATCGTTGAAACGATTGTCGCCTGTGTATCGATCTGCATCAGATCGATACACTACTCGTAACGGTTTACTGTATTATACAGCCGTTTCTGGTGACACACCACGTGTTTTCATTCCAGATGATACTGATCTGCGCTTGCGGATCATGTTCGAGTATCACGATGCTCCTATAGGAGGACATCGTGGCCGAGAGAAAACATATCTCACGGTGAGTCGAGACTTTTACTGGCCCCGCCAGTATCAGTTTGTGCGAAAGTATGTTCGCGCATGCGAAGTCTGCCAGCGAGTGAAGTCAAGTCCTTCACTGCGTGCACCTTTACAGCCTCTACCGGTTCCGGCTGAGTGCTGGGAATCCATCTCAATGGATTTCGTCTTCGGGTTACCCAAAGACGCACGCGGGAATACGGGTATTCTCGTATTTGTTGACAGATTCAGCAAAATGGTACACCTTGTGGCTGTACCAGAGGCAATCACGGCAAGTGGCTGTGCTTGTGTCTTTATTGACACCATCTTCCAACTTCATGGGTTGCCCCGTGAACTCGTATCAGACAAAGATCCACGATTCACTGCTGATTTCTGGCGTTCCGTGTTCAAATCACTCGGAACGCGCTTGAAGATGTCGACATCTGATCATCCAGAGACAGATGGTCAGACGGAACGTGCCAATCGTGTCCTCGAAGAGATCCTTCGAGGATACGTACACTCCTTTAATAGTTGAAGTGAGTTTTTGCCAATGGTGAAGTTTGCCATTAACAAGTCGGTGCATGCGTCCACGACACATACACCGTTTTACGTGAATGGCTTGCGCCATCCGCGTGTACCCACCTTACTAGAGTGCAACTCTGGTTTAAGGGGGGAGGGACTAGCGCGAGCAAAAACCGATTTGGTTCACGCTCATCACGCTCTGACGAAGAGGTCATTGCGTTTGATGCCGATATCGATAACATCGATATCGAAGAAGATGATGCCAGTGAGAGTGCGGAAGCCCTCACTGAAGAAAAGGTTGATGTTGCTGCAGTGCGCTGTGAGCGCACTGCAGCTAACGAGTCATCAGATGAGTTCATACTGGCTCGTGAAACGGTAGTCCGTTTTGTGCAAGACTCCATCGCCGAAGCGGTGGATAAGCAAAAGCAAAACGCTGACAAGAATGGAAGGGCAAACACTATTTTATTTAATAAAGGTGACTTAGTCCTACTGTCTACGGTTAATCTACCAAAGCATGTAGTGACTAACTTGGGCAGCAGTAAACTACTACCCAAGTACATCGGCCCATTTCGTGTATTGCACCGCCTAGGCAATGCATACACGATCGAGTTACCACGTAAGACGCGAACGCATCCCACGTTTTACGTTGGTCGGCTTAAGCCGTACCATCAGTACGCTGCTTCTTCCAATGAAGAACGCCCTTGCGCTCAAGCATCTCGCAGAGAGCCTTGTGCTCCCGATGGTGGGCATCAACAAGGGTCTGAAGAGCAGCTATCTCATCCCGAGACCGATCAACGATCCCACGAGCTACCCTTAGCTCGTCACGAAGAGATGTCAGAGATCTCTCGTTCTCGAGCTGAGCAAAGGCAAACTCAGCTCGATGCTTCGAGACAGTGTCCGCCATTTGGAGACGCCTGTCCCGCTCATGTTCGAGATCGTTGCGTAACCCTTGCGTTACGCGATCAAAGAAGCTCTCGGGAACACACCGATCCACATGATCGTGTGGAGAGCGTCTTTCCTCCTCCTCCACCTCCATTAGAGAACTCTCACGGTGGCCAGCGCTATCTAGTTGAGCAGCTGTTGAACCACCGCGACGTGAACGGACGTCGGACGAGTTATCTCGTCCGGTGGCGCGGCTATCCCCCGTCCTGGGATTCCTGGGAGCCCCGCTCCCATCTGATGGTTGACGTACTGGGTCTGGTTGAGTAGTACGACGCGGCACATCCTGTGCCGCAGAAGGACCGCCGTAGAAAGTCTTCCCGGAACGGTCGTAAAGGGATTTCAAGTTGTCAATCCCTTCGTACATCTCAATAGAGATACGTACGCGCCACCACGGGCTATTAGGGAGGTAAGCCTCCTTAGGTGCTCGTGCAGAGTTGTTCACACAACATGGGCACGAGTCTCCCCAAGAGAGGCAGGGTAATCCTTTCTCCCTTGACAGACGATGCAGCTTGTAGCGTGCACCTGTCGGGGTTCGCTTTTCAAACTTATCACGAGCTTTGATAAGTTTGTCGTTCCAAGCGTCACGACCTACATCCTCGAGGTTATGGATGTAGGCGTTCCACGCTTGAAGCAGTGAGGGACCATCACGTTTGTGATTCCCACTGTACCATCGATGTGTCGAAAGCATCGATGAAGAATTCATGTTCAGCGCGATAGTTTTTCGCACTGGGGTCAAGGTGATGGATTCTTGACGAATCGAACAACCGTGTTCGATAACGATCACTCGTCGTCGCCGACAAGTGATCCATGACGGATTTTGGAGGCATCCATGCCTTCTTCTCAGGAGCGAGACGCAACACATTGCGGTCCCGCTCTTCCTGCGACGTGCCGACAGAAGTACTGGCACCTCGTTGCGAAGTGGTGTCCATAGGAGAACCGACACCACTGTTAGCGCCCAAGTCTCGCGACCTCGAGCGCCTTCGCTTCGGCGATGGTTCATCTGATTCATCAGATGAACCAAAGATACTGCGACGCAAAGCATCGTCCATGCCACGCTTGGTAGGCGGCTTGGATTCAATCGCCGTCGATACGGATCCGTCATCCGTATCAGGAGAGTACGAGACACCGAGCTCGTACTCTGTGAAGACACGAGTGTCTTCATGACCAGCGCCTGCATCACCAAGTGACACAGGCTGGGTCGCTTCAGCAACGGATGAGACATCAGTTGCTGTTGTTTCTGCTTCGGCGTCCGCACAGAGACGTGCGGACGCGCTCTCGGCGGCCTTGCTCGCGCATCGCATGGGCTTGTTAACCATGCGATGAAATGTTGGGAAGTGGACTCGGACCAACAAGTGCAAACCCTGTCCCAAATGATTTGGGACGAGTATCCATTTAGTCAATCAGTCACTAAAGTGACTGATGGTTAAGGGGGGGTGATGTAACGGGGTGAATCGTTACATAACAATTTATAAGAAATTGTTAATAGAATATAACTATAAGAGTTATATTCTCAGAATATTGTCATAAGGACAAATATTCTGTAGCACTTACGAGTAGTTCCTAATTGGTTGATATAGCCATTATATCAACCAACGAAGACGCGCCACGACAGACGCACGCAATGAGTGGTGAGCAGATAGTTGATTTACACATTTGTATTTAGACATAGTTAGATGAAGATAAATAGTGATTTATTGCAGACATTAACTATTATAAATACAGTTCTACTTTTTACTTTAACCAAGTACTCGCTTCTTCTTACCGTCTTCCTCTGCACGTACGAGTGTACGTGAAGTGACGAGGCACCGCCTTATTCTGTCATCAGAATAAGTAGCTTGTACTGTCACCAGTACAAGCTTCAGGGTGCCCCGTTACATTGAGGACCGCGTTATAGTCACTGAAATCTACCGTGTCTTTTCATCTGTCTACGATCACACTGGAACAAACAGTGCGCACCAATACGACGCAGAAATGATAACTCATGTCGTCATCTTGTCCAATATTACGATTCAGAGACGTGTAAAAGCCTCAGAGTGTGGAAGTTGCCGCAAGCACTGTAACGGGGCACCGGAGAAACGCATTGTACAACCAGTGTGGAGCTACTATCACCGACAGCAGCGTGAGTGGTGCTCGCTACCTCTGTCAACTTTACAGAGGAAAGGATAGCAACTGGAACTGACTAGTTGCTGGTAAAAGTGTAACCTGCTCGAATCTAATAAAGTCCTGATCATAAATCAATGTTCTAGTCCTAACTTAATCATTTTTATCCACGATATGTATGCTAAAGTCTTGCTCACCACTCATTGCGAGCGTTCATCGCTGACTGGACCGCTAGATCTTGCTGATACGATGACCCAGATCAGCTGATCATTATGTTTTTCTAAACATTACCTCTTGTGGTAATATTCACAAACATTATCGACCTTCATGACGATATTCTAATTAACGAGTATTAAGGTTTTATGAGTTGCAAAAGGCTCATCCTGTTACATCAACCCCCTTTTGAACGATAGTCACTTAATTACGTTCATGTTAATTTGGTCACCGTTAGACTACATCAGGGACAGGGAGCACTTGTTTTTTCTGATCTATTCATTTCTTTTCTGAAATTTTATCGCATGGTGAACAACTCCATGCGATGCGCGGCGAAAGCTGCTGAGAAGGAAGCTTCGCGTGCTAACGCAGCTGCTCTTGATGATGTTCAGTCTCTCTCGGCAGACGATGCTCCGTCTGCTGCTCCTGCAACTCTTCCTGCAGGACTACTTGCTGCAATTGCACGTGGTATCTCACCATGTGCTAATGATGATGGCCCCCAAGTGGAACTCATCTGTTCGGGGGAGTCGGGCGGTGAGTTGGACTCGAAGAAGACACCTGGGTCGCCCGAGTTTATCGAGGCGCCCGATTAAGAACTAATGATAAATACTCGAGCGAGTAGTAAGACTCATGGTCACTACCAGAGTCTGTCTAGCGTGTACGATGAGCATAATGACTCCTTTCCGTTCCTGATACTGCGCATTCGACATCTGGCGAATGCGGTGATGATTTGCACCGTCGTTATGACGATTCTAGGGGTACCAAGACTTCCGTTAACACCACACATGCGCTCTGGACGGCATGTGCTGAGTATATCCCCGAGCACAAGCCTTGGGTTAACCAGAGAAGCTTGTAAACGAATTTTCAGACGAGACAAGTCTTTATCATTGAAACCCATCATTCGATGCGAGTTTGTTGCACGGCCTCGACATCAGCGCTACTTACTATCGCGATGGAGAAGTCTTCTATCTGTATGATTTTCTGAAGCATCTTTCGTATAGTGGCAAAACTGAGCGAGAAACAAGCTCGTTGCTGCAGGCGTGGGATGCCTTTGTGCTTAATGTGAAGCACATTGGGGATGAAGCTTGGCTTCAGAAACTTAACACAGCTCGTGTTAGGTTTGATTAACGAACCTTGATTAATGCAAAAGCCAGGTTGATCAATCTATCTCGTGAGGTAGAAATTACAAGCCTCACATGGGCGAACCATGTCTGTGTTGTTCCGTTAACAGTCAACGCATCTAAATAGATGTTTACTACCTTTCTTCGCCCTGGGGTAGGGTGCACATCTCTTCTGAGATGCGAGATGCAATTGCTAATTTGCAATCGCTTTACGAGCGCCATGAGCGCGTGCTTTTCGATGGACCTTCTGCGCCATGGGATGTGTCTCGTCGTACAGGTGGACGAGACCCTCAGCTTCAATCATCAGCTGGGCGCGAGACCCCCAGCTGTCGTGTGACGGCGGATAGCCTCAATAGCGAACGAGAAAACGTTTTCGCTGCCCTTTCACATCATGGTAATTCAAGACACTCTCCACGTAAAAGTTTTGACCACTGTGCGAGTCTACCGATGGATGCGGTGTGGGAGCGGGAAGATCGGCTCCGAATGGCCTGTTGGAGTTGCAGGAGGAGGTCAGTCGTCTCCAGCAACGCTTACACGATCTGCGTGATCACACCTAACAAGAGAGGCAGGATCGTCTCTTGTTGTAGGCATGGGTGCAACGCATCCTTCTTTATCGATCAGAAGACCGATAGGAGTTCGCGTTCTACCAATCGGAGAACGAGCGGAGGCGTCAAGCCTTTCGCAACGAAGTGGCTGACATTCATCGCCAGCATGCGGCACTACAGAGCCAGACTAAGAAACTGGCTCGGGTACAAAAGAAACTCTTAGAGTTTCTCGAGCGTGGCAGTTATGACCGCCCGAAGAAGAGACCTCGTGCTGCTTTTACGTGCGGGAAGACCGACATGAAACGTAGGATACGTGCGTAGCCTGCGGGTCAACTCGATTTCGTACGCATTGACTTTGCAATGTCGCACACTTAGCGGGCCAATGTAACTGGGTAGTAGTTTACTACTACCCGCATTAGTTACTACGTGCTTAGGTAGATTTTTGTTGACAGTAGATCTGAGTCTTCGACATTAGTAGAAGAGCGTTTGATCTTCCATGTTTGTTATCATTCCGTTTCTATCGGTTCACCGCGTTTGCGATAGAGTCTTGCACAAACGAAACACTGCTTCTCGTGCCATCAGTGCATCTTTGATGACTCATTGTTGCTGCTGTAGTGCGCCTTTTGAGCACCGCTAGGAGCCCATCTTCTTATCTAGCAAGGGTGTTCTCATCATCTATGGTGTAGTCATTGGCGATGCTAAATGTACCAGCATCGTCATCCTCATCTGGGTCAGAAGTAGTGCCTTCACAAACGCTGAGGTGATATAATTTGATGCCGATTCGATTAGCATCCACAACTTTCGTTTTTAAAACGTGATGAGCAAGAGCCAGAACGTATTTTTTTTTTCCGCAAGAATTCCTTCTCCCTTCAATTCAGATTCACTCTCTAAATGATTGGGTTGGTGAGGATGGCGTTAGCTGTTCACAAAAAATGGTGTGTGCGTTGGTGAAGCATGCACGGAGTTGTATTAGCTAGGTCCACCATCGAGAAAACTATTACTCCAATCTGTGAAGGATTGAACGTATCCTTGAAGAATGTATTTGAGGACACAATTGACGCGTTATGCCTGGCCATCTGTCTTGGGATAGTCAGAAGTAGACACAGTCAGACGTGTTCTGAGGGATCGGAACAAAGATTGTCAAAATGCCGCCGTGAATCGAGGTTCTCTATCATAGACTAGTTCACGGGACATACCATTTAGTCGGAATAACGTGTCAATGGAGACACGGGCACAGCTTTGTGCTGTGATGGACTTCCGAACGGCAGCAAGATGTGCCATATTGCTTAATTGATCAACAAACACAAGAACACCTTCATTCTTGTGAGCGTCTTCGGGAAACCTGAAAATGAAGTCATAGAAGCGGACTGCCAGCACTCTGCCGGAATTAGTAAAGGGTGTGTTGGCGCACAGGGTGAAGGAATGGGATTCACCTGTGGGCACACCTCGCAAGTACGGATGTACATGCGCACGCACTGATACTAGCGGGGCCAGTAGAAGTCGCGGCTTACTGTGAAATGAGCCTTTTCACGCCCACAGTGAACACTAGGTAGTGCATCATGGCAATCATTCAAGATGCGCAACTTCAAATTATTATGTATGAGAACGACGACACGAGGTGTGTTTCTGGAGTTGGCTGTATAATACAGCAACACGTTACGTGTTGTACAACGATCCACGGGAGATTGATACAATGCCGGTAAAATTGTAGTATAAAACAACCAGATTAATCATCAGTCGCAAAAGAGCCGTATCTTATGCGTTGGTCTTCTTTACGTCATCAAGAAATATTGACGACAGAGCACTACTGACTAGTCTTGCAACAGTGGTATTATCTCCACTGCTGGACTATGCGGCCGACTCGACATCGGGTCGGCGCGACACGCGTCAGCGACGACATCAAGTCGTCCGAGCTTGTACTCCACGGAGATGTTGAACTCCGCAAAGAAGGACAGCCACCTAGCCATCTTTTGAAAGAGGTGTGGGCTATTTACGGCCGTGCGTAATGGTGCATGGTCCTTATAGACTGCAAATTGCCTGTCTCCAAGGATATAGACGCGAAAATTTGCCAGTGCATACTTCATATCGAGATGTTCCTAGTAATGCACTGGACAATCACGCTAAGCTGCTTGAAGCTGACGCGACCGATAACGGGCTACGTGCTCTGCGCCGTCTGCATCGTACTACATTAACGCGCAGCAAATTGAAAAATCGCTGGTACCACAGACCACATGGAATGGTCTTTTTTGGTCTGCAATATCCAAGATTGGCAATTGCATCAACTTCTGCTTGATGCCTCGAAGGAAAGCTGAAAAGTAGCGTTCCTTGACCACTTCTCATTCGTTTTAAAAAGACGAAAGAGGTGAACGGTCACATAGGCGTAGTGGTGCGAGTACTTGTGTACGCCGCTAGACCAGGAAACTTTCTAATTTTCTAATCATCGACTGGCAAAGGCCAGTTGGTAACCTTAATCTTTTCCGTAATAAGCTGTACGCCGAGTTTACCCACGATGCACCCATATCGTGGTATTTCGCTGGCAGCGAATACAAACTTCTTGAGGTTAGATTAAATCTTACGTTTATGCGTAGGCTTAAGAACCTGAACACTGTGTGTTCTGAAAACGTTTATATCCATCTTTCCGCCAGTAGCCCGGCTATGGACGAAGACATCGTCAAAGCAACGCGTTGCAAAGTCTAACACCTTCTCAACAAATTTGTAACACCTTTCTTGAATGAGACAGGGGCGTTGCTAAGCACCTGTGGTAACACTAGCCACTACCAGAGCATACCACTCGGAGTTCTTACTGCCGTTTACGGAATGTCCTGTTCACGCATGAGGATCTGGTAGATACCACCCATCAAATCCATGGACGAGAAGATGGTACTTCTTGACATACTATCAATAATATGGTACTTCATCGGTATCGGCGTCTGAGCCAGTTACTTTGAAGCATACAACTTGTTAAATGGATGCACTATCTACCATACTCCTGTGGTCTTGCGCACACACAAAGTTGGAGAGATGTGATGGCAAGTAGACTCCCTCACATGATCAGAAGCTAAGTGATCGGCAAAGAACTAATCGATCGCAAGTACTCGTTCAAGAGGTAGTAGCCACTGCTTCATGGTACGGTACTTAGAGTCTGGTTCGATCTCGACTTTGTGTCGAGTGCCTTTATACTTAGGCAACTCGCACGGTACGGATTCAGAGAACATGTCCTTGAGCTCGATCAAATACCTATATAAGGATTGACCTGAAGAGACACCCAAGACTGAGACGTGTTTCCGAGTCTTCTCATCGTAATCACTTACGTCCATCGATGAGCTGATGAAAACCCGTTCGTTCTCGGCAAATATTACTGTCGACAAAATGTCAGTTACAGACACGCCGCCCATGAAGAGTACACCGATCTTCTTGAACTTGCCACTACTCAGAACTTGCAAGAACCGCCTTGGATCTGGCGTTTTAAATTGTGTGATATTGAAATCAACTTTGGAGGCGCGGTCAGATCAAGTGTACAAATGCCTATAATTGACCCGTCATTGGCCAAGACACTGAATGTCTCGGTTTCTTTCTCGGAAATCTTTCTTACAGGCTTCTGAGGACTTGATCCTTCATGTTGATAAGGTCTCATTACCTCAACAATGGTCGCTTGAGGAGTTATCCCTCAAGTACGTGGGGACTTTTCCATCGACGTCTTCTAATGGTGGTTGCGCTACCACAGCTAGGTCCTATACTATCGACTCTCCGGCCTATCTAGAATCATAGTGTTGCCCGGTATGACCAACTGGTTTATTCTTACTTGGATGTCGCCCGCTAGTCGTGCATACATATTCCTATCTACTCGACTTGTTCTAGTGGTGGATCTTTGGTGCTGCCTTTGCATTCGCACATACTCCACAATTTGATTGGTTGTCACACTGTGAT